GTGCCCGGGCGTGGATGCTCATGATGAGATCCAACAGGCAACAGCGCCCAAGAGATTAGGCAAAGTTTAGACTCTGCATTTACGTAGCCTCTGAACGGTAAGAAAAGGTAACTTTTGGTAAGTTACTTACCTGTGGAGTGAAGCCTGACTCCCAAAAACGTGCTCACACTATAATATTCTGAAAGGATAAAACAGTGATTCAGAAAATTCATTAAATCTAATACTATAAAAAAAACAACTGCATGTGGATTTTGGTTAATGGTTCATGGTTGAGGCACTACCATGCATGGAGGGGTATTTTTTATTTTCTCAGCTGATTGTCGACAAGAAGACCATTCTTTTATTGCAAGAAACTTGGAGATAAATCAGCATGCAAATTACCAGAATAGTTAAATTTTATCTTTCTCTGTTCATTAACCTTACTCATAGAACATCTCTTAATACATAGCTCTGGTTATATTCCTATCTTTGATTTAAGATAAAAATAAATATGTGCCAACTTCTCAACGGGCTATGGGATCCTAGAATTCAGAAGTAATAAATATATGCTTCTACAACAACTGCTATCCAAATAACAAGCTTAATATTAAGACGAAAATTCAGTTTATATCGTTACTCTGCTATGCCAAAGAAATACGTAATTTTTCATTACATAAAGAAATACATAATTTTTCATTATAGATGGGATACACATGCAAATGACTGGAATAACATAAATCTCTGAACACCTGAGCTACATCACGCAATATTCAAGGAGGGTGGTGTTTAAATCCAGAGAGTAAAGTTTAGGGATGTCATATCGGCGTCATATCGGGATGTCACATGAGAGTGTTTTCGGATGATAATAATAAAACAAATTACATAAGTCCTCAGGAATTTGCGAGACGAATTTATTAAGCCTAATTAATCCGTCATTAGCCCATGCTTACTGTAGCACCACATTGTCCAATCATGGACTAATTAGGCTTAAAAAATTATCTCGCAAATTAGTCGCAATCTGTACAATTAGTTATTTTTAGTCTATATTTAATACTCCATATATGTGTTCAAACAACCGATGTGATAGGAAGTAAACTTTAGATGGAGAAACTACACAAGGCCTAAGCTTCTCTTGGAGTTGTCACGATTAATTTTATTGATTATACCCATCTACAGAAGCAAAGGCATACTTCTATCATCACTTCATCAGCAGATCAATAACAGCTATATCCAAAGCTAATATTTTCGTTTGGTTTGCAACACAGAACGAACCTGTCCGTCACGACGTCGTGGCCGCTAAGCTGCCAACAACGTTATCCGCTGGGACTGATTCACTGCTCGCAAAATCGGCAGACCATATCGTCTGTGATGGGTTCTTCAGATCAATTGATTCAGCAAACCAAACGGTCTATAAATTTGCTATGCTTACAAGAGAATCAACAGCTCATCAGATCAATACCCTCTCGGCCTCTCCGGATGGCAAACAAACGAGTATGCCAACCCACGGATCCAAGTTATGCTTTAGAACAACCATCTAACGAACTTCTTCAAAGAAACAAATTAAAAGAATTGATGTCAGTTGTATAGTAAAGAAAATAGCGCGAGTTTTAGAATAGCTCACTTGATGGATATGTGAGGGGAGTTCACCGAGGGGCTGTTAGCAGACCGGCCCGGCACGGCGGTGGCGGTCGTGGACGAGGATGGATTCGGGGTCGGGGTTGGGCGTTGTTGGCCCACGTGACTATGGAGCCGGGCGGCAGTGGCACCGGTGCTGCAAGGTGAGCGCCGCGTTGGGGCAAGGCAGCACGGGCCGGCGGCGATGCGGGACGGGGCAGGCAGAGATGCGCTGGGCGTAGGGTGTACAACGAGCGACGGACGGACAAAGCAGAAGAAACAACGCGAGCAAGGAGGCATGCGGGGTTGCGGATAGAAAAATGGCAAGCATCTACTACCAATTTCTTTCATCCGGTCCGGTCACACAAATCCCGGAAACCAACCCCGCCCCGCCCGTCCTTCCACGTAAACCTTTGCCGCCCCGAATCCCTGATTCGTAACGGCCGAGATCTCTGCGGAGGTTAACTGGTCTACGCTCCCTATCAGCGTCCTTCGAACGGACAAACGGAGGGAGCATCATCGTCTCCCAGATGAATTACAGTGCCGGCCATAGGGGTAGGGCACGAGGCGCGACGGTCTAGGGCCCAAGCGCAGGAGAGACCTAAGCTCAGATATATAAACCCCTAGGTCTTATAGTTCATTAGGTATTAGCAAACTAATGAGAAGAGAGATATAAAACTGGTCAGGTGGCCAAAAAAGACAACATCGGTATTTCTTTTCTAGTTTTCTTTCTCCACGGCCCTCGGGTAGAGAGGAGGCGAGGAGTCACGCTGCAAACAACACATTCTGATCGTGAGTTCGCGACGTGCACCTTACAGACGCGGAGCTGGCGAGCCGCGCCGCCGCGAAGAGCTAGACTACCGGAGACATGGACACGGTGCACGAGGATGGCGACTAGGCAGGACTCCACGACGACGACATCTTGATTCTTAGCTTCTTACGAATTGCGATCACCGATCAATTGTTTAGGCCCAAGGTATTTTTTCCTTTTTATTTTTAATCTAAATTAATTATTTGTATAGTATTCCAGACTTCTAGTACTTTGTACCCATATAGTCATATTTTTCTTCTAATTTGTGTTAGAATTTTAGAATGTTATCTAAGAAACATTTGTCATTGGTGAGAAAAGAAAATGAATATATTGCTTTTTTAATCTACATTGTTCCTCGATAATTATCATACATCTATAAATATATTGCTTAATCTACATTGTTTCTCGATAATTATCAGACATGTTAAATTAAAAATATGTTATTGAATTTGCTTTCGTTTTGCAAGTAAAATTAGTGCCTATATATTATAAGATTTTATACATGATCAAGAGGAGCCGTTGCGACGAGATCACTGCAGGGCCCTTAAAATTCTAGGACTAGCACTGATGAATTAACTCCCACGCGTGCATACAAGCCCGTTTCTCGCATGCGGGTCTTGGGAGTGGAGGAGCGCGCGCAAGCACCGCGAGAATCCTGGCATGCGCAGCGTCACGATGCAGCATGCAAGATTTGCATAGCAATATTGCCCCATTTAGCTTGCTGAAACTTGACTGAAATTGGCTGAAAAACACTGTTCTAACTGAAATATTGTGAGAGAAAAATATTGTTCCGACTGAAAAAAAAAAAAGTCGAACAAATCGGATTTAAGGTAAGCCGAACAGGGCCATGGGAGGACGATGGTTCGATTTTCAAAAAACCCAGCCTCTATAGATGGTTATCAAAAAATGATTGTTTGCTTAAGATCCACCTAAACTTTACTGGGACGGTTTTAAAAATTATACCGGTGTCAATTAATCAGATGTCTATCTCCTTGCAAAATATTTTCTTTAGCCTACCAAAGCCCGTGCGGCCCAGCGGCTTAGATGTGTCGTGCTCGTGCCTGATAGTATCACCATGCCGAGGCAACGGCCCAGACACAGCACTACGGCCTCTTAGGTGTGCCATGCCGTGCCGATGGGCATGGCAACCCAGTGCCAGCTTGAGCGCCACTGCAGCACCGTCGAGCAACAGCCGCATGCCGTGGAGCAACAGCCGCGTGCCGTCGCTGCGCCGTGGAGCAGCAGCAGTGCATCGCGCGTACGCAGGGCGCCGCCGCGGATGCCATCCGGAGGAGCGAGTGAGGCAGCGAGAAAGAGGTGGTCGCTTGAGGCCGAGGGCCACGCCACCGTATGCTCAAGTTGCAAGAAAAGGAGGTGGAGGAAGAGAGCAGGCAGCGAAGAACTAGAGTTGGAAGACTTATATAAAATTTTAGATTGTACATCTTTTTGATTTTGATATCAATTTAGCTGTCCTACGGATAATCGAAGCTATTTAATGTGTGACTCAGGCCTATATCTATATGATCGATCGATCGCCATTAAACGCCCATGATATATCGGATCAGCATCATGTCAGCCCAATAATCATGTGGTGCCCGTGTCGGCACTACGGGCCGGAGTTAAGGCCAGACACGACACTATAGCATTTTCGTGCCATGTCATGCTCAGACTGTGCTTTTCGGGCTTGGCCCATTTGACCATCTATAGTCACCATGGCTAGCCTCGTCATGCCGAGACACCGTTCGCCCGGCCTTATATACCATATATAAGTGGTCGGCCCCGCCGCACCAAGCAAACACTGGCCATGGTCCTACGCAGTGTCTAAATTTCAAGCTCTCCACCGTCGTGTGGCCATCCATGCCCCCAAGCTTTGCGTGTCTGCGTGAGCGTGGATGATGTACGCCTGCGCATGGAGACTTGTTGGCGCACTTCTGTTTGAATGAATGCCTTCAAATTATTATTTTTTTCATTCTTCACTGGTGGTTCAATCTCTGCATGTGAAAATTGATTTTTATAATAGCGATCGCGCATTAAGGCATCCAATATACTTGCTCAGTTCTAAAATAAATGCCATTTTAAAATTCGTACAAATAACTTTTTTTAAGTTTAACTAGATTTATAAAAAATATTAACAAATAAGTTTATTATGAAAATATATTCAACAATTAATCTAACGATACTTATTATACCATAACTTCATAAGTATTAATAGTTTCTTATATATATTTCGTCAAAGCTGAAAATGTTTGACTTCTCATGACATTTATTTAAGAACTGAGAGAATATACCCTGCCCATTGTCGCACCCGTGCCAGCCTTCTGCTTCCCCCTTTCTGCCGCCACCATGGCCATGGTGGCCCCTCCCTCAGCCCCCCCCCCCCCCCCTGCCCCTCCGGTGCCATCGCCGGTGCCATCGCCGCCGCCTCCGCCTCGCCGCCGTCTTGGCCTGTCTTTCTCTCTAAAACTTTTTTCTAAGGTGGTCGGAGTTGGAAAGAAGAGAAAGAAATAGAAGCACACGTACACACAACAATAACCAAACCTTGATCATGCGAGACAAAATTACATAGCGTGCACATGTCGTCCACTAGCTAGTAGGACTAGAGTTGATACCGCCGTAAAACGTGGTCGGCGCTGGCCTGCAGCAGGTCCCACACGTCCACGACGTGTCGCATCTCCGTCATGGCACCGCCGACCGCGAGGCGGATCACGAACTTGCCGTCCACCACGAAGTGCGTCATGAACGCCCGCCCGCTCGCGTTCATCGCCGCGAGGAGCTCCCGGTTCAACTCGTCCACCGTGTCGTCCCCCACGAACCTCGCCCGGAGGCGGAAACATACCAGCGAGAACTTCCTCGCCACCACAACCTCGAAGCGTTCGTCCGCCGCCATCGTCCGCTCGAACCACTTGGCTGCGGTGACGTGTCGGCGGATGTGCGCGCGCAGGCCGACGGTGCCGTAGCGCCGCAGCACCACCCAGAGCTTGATGGCACGGAACCGGCGTGACAGGGAGATCTGCCAGTCCTTGTAGTCTATGGCGGCCGGCTTCCCCGTGCCGTCCGTGCCGACGTTCTTGTGGTACTCCGGGTCGGTGGACAGCGCGGAGGTCAGGGCACCTGGGCTTGCCACCCACAGACAGCAGCAGTCCGCGTTGGTGAGGAACCACTTGTGCGGGTTCATGCTCACCGAGTCGGCGAGCTCGGCGCCATCGAGATAGCCCTGGAACTACGGGCAGATGGCCGCGCTGCCGGCGTACGCCGCGTCCACGTGCAGCCACACGCCGTGTCGCCGCGCCTCCTCTCCGAGCTCGCGCATGGGGTCGACCGCGCCGAGCCCCGTCGTGCCCACCGTGGCGCAGAGGTACAGCGGCACCAGGCCGCGGGCGACGTCGCGGTCGACAGCGGACGGCGTCGGCGGTCAGGCCGTACCCGGAGGCCGGCGTCGTCTGGATGACGCGGAAGTTGGACGGCGGGATGCCCACCAGCCGCGCCCCCTTTTGGAAGGTGACGTGCGTCTGGTCGGAGGCGTAGAACACCAGCTTCATGATGCTCTCGTGCCCCAGCCTGTGCAGAGCGCGGTCCCGCTCCGCGGCGAGGGTGCACACCACGGCCTCGCACGTGCTCCCCTGTAGCACGCCGCCGCCGCCGCCCGAGAAGAGTAGCCGCTGCGGCAGCCCGAGCAACGTACCCATCCAGTCCACCACCACGCTCTCCAGCTCCGCTGCGGCGGGCGATGCCGCCCACACGAACGGCACGACGTTGAGGCCGGCGGACAGCATCTCCCCCGCGAACCCGGCGGCGCTGGCGTTCATGGGGAAGAAGGCGAAGAAGCTGGGGCTCTGCCAGTGGGTGAGCCCCGGCAGGATGTCCCGCCGCACGTCCTCCAGTACGTCCTCCATCGGCTCGCCGTGCTCTGGCGCCGCCTCGGGGAGCAGCTTCCGTAGCCTGCCCGGCTCGAGGCCGGCCGCCCGGACAGGGAACTTATCCACGTCGCGGTAATACTCGGCGAGGAAGTCCACGACGGGGCGTGAATCACCGGCGAAGGCCTCGGGGTCCAGTGGCCGCAGTGACGCGTCGAGTGGCAGGCTGCCCATCGCCGCCAAGTTTCTTCTAGCTACTGTACCTACGGCTACGGAAGGACGAGCAGTACACATCAAAAGCTATTATTGGGCTGCCTGTTTGGGCTCTGAGTTTTAGTCCCGGCAGTGCCTGCCTAGAGGCTTCAGGAGCCGCTGGGAGCCGTTTTCTATTAAATGGGGTAAAATAAAACGGCTCTACCAATGAAGTCCTTAAAAAGTGCTCTCATAGAGCTTTGGGGTGGGAATGAGCCAAAATAATGGCTTCTCTCGGCTTCACCTCATTCTACATGGCGTTCTCTGAGAGCATATTTTAAGAAAAACTATATGTGAAGTTGTTTTGTCAAACGATTTATCAAAACGGCTACAGCTCTACCCATAGAGTTGTTCATGGAGCTGAAGCCCCAAAAAATAGCTTCATGGGTGAAGTGGAGCCGTGCCAAACAGGGCCTTAATATGGCTGCACCATGCAGTTTGGGGTTGTTTATATATAGGGCGATTGCACATGCATGTGTTTTTTCAATTTTCTCAAAAAAAAACTTTTCAAAAAAATTTATTCTTGGCCTGTGGACAAGGCATGCAGGTCTAGGCCAATCTGTCGAAGAGCTAACAAATAGCAAGACACCAGCAAAGACATGTTCAAAAAAAACATGAAGCAAATGCAAGCCACCAATGATTAAAGTCCATTAATAAACACCCTTGCTTGGTGAAAATGTCCATAACGGTCATCTCCAAGGTGCAACATGCCTATTTCAAATTGCACGTGCCTCCTACTTTTGCAACTACAATCTAGTTTAATGCATGCCACTCCATATAACCTACACATGTACGAGCATGTCTAATTTTCGACCGTCGGACATAAAAATTATTATTCACCTTATTGCATGATCATGTAAACGACTTATGACAAGATCTAACAATCACTATCGGACTATCCACTACTCCATCCATTCCAAATTGTAAGACGTTTGACTTTTTTGGTTTCAAGTTTGACCACTCGTCTTATTCAAAAAATTTATGCAAATATAGTCAAATTTAAATCATTCTTGAAGATTTTTTATTAATAAACCAAACCACGACGAAAGAAGTGATATTTTACATAAATTTATGAATAAGACGAGTGGTCAAATTTGATGTCAAAAAAGTCAAACGTTTTACAATTTGAAATGGATTAAGTACTACACAAAGGATTCTGTAAATAGCTTTTAGAAAACCAAAAAAACAAAAAATCATCTCTTTGACGATTCAAACCCCCAACCTACTACTTAGCCATAGCACCTCTCTACCACTAAATAACACACTCATTTGTAACTATATATAGGATGATATCATTTTATATCAATATTTTGTAAACTTGTATTGAATATTTTGACTACTAAATAAACTCAAATGAAAAAAAGTTTCAACTATAAAGTTTAAAATCTTGTCAAGCACTACAACTTTGGTATATCCGAGATTGTTTGAAAAAAATGAAAATTTTGAATCTCAAAATATGTAAATTTAAAATAAACATTTGAGACACTAAAAGACTTCAAATCAAAAACTTATAAATAGGAAACATGTAGATCAGGACTCTAAACAACTTCAAATCAAAAACTTTTCAACTATAAATTTATAGATTGTTTTGAGAACTTTAACTTTGCATCCGAGATTGTTTGAAAATTTTAAATTTCAAAATTTATGAACTTAAAACAATATTTTGGGACTCTAAACACTTTAAAATAAAAAATTTATCAACTACAAAGTTGTATGTTGCATTGAGAGCTATAATTTTGATATAAAATTTTTTCTTCATCCAAATTCATATGCAACTATTTATACACAGATGGGCATCTTAAAGATGCATGCCTCTGAAAATTAATGTTTTTAGAGACAGACTTGGATGCCTCAGTTAATCGATGATTTTCAGAGGCGGTCGTTTTAGGATGCTGTAACATCTCGGTGTTATGCCTGCATTTAGGCACTGCAAATCATGCATATCATGCATCATAAAGCATAATAATCATACATGCCTAATCATGTAAATAACAAGTGAAACACTGCTTCGAAACATCTGAAACATGTTGTGAAACCTGAATGTTGCATACCTTTGTTAGAATTGTTGTACCCTGAATTTTTCTTGCTAGGTTAGCAAAACATGTTTGTCTACTATTGTAAATCATCTAGCAATGTTTAGTTCAATTTTTGGAGCAATGTTTGTATTCAAATTAATTCAAAATTTGGCTTCAAAAATAAATTCCAAAAATTAGGGTTTTGAGCTAAACGTGGACTTTGATCTTACAATTCAAAATCTAGAAAGAATTTGGCTGTGGTCCTAAAAGCAAAGTTGTAGAGAATTAAATTCTAAACAACTTTCATTTTTGGTACATTTTCAAAAGAGGTCATTTTCTTGCTCAAAATAATATTTGAAAGATGGCATTTAAAAATCCCTTGAAAATACAAATGAAAAAGGTTTTTCCTCCTTCGCAGGCCGCCGCCGCTTCTGCCCGCCCTTTGCCAAGCCTGGCCCAAGGCATCCCAGCGCCTCCTCGCTCGCTCGGCCCAGCCCAGCACCAGCAGGCCTGCCCGCTCACGCCATCCCATGCGCATTGCCTTCGCCTCGCCTGCCCTGCGCGTTCCTCGCTGGCCGCTCGTCCACCGCACACCGATGCATGGCAGAGACATTCCCGCGGCGTGGCGACCATGTGCCGGCGTCGCCGCTTGCAGCTGCAGCCACGCCTCGAGCTCGAGCGCCTGCGCGCCCGCCTACTCTGCTTTGAACGGTGCGCGCGCGCCACTCCCGCCGCTGCTGCATTCCTCTCCTCCGAGCAAAAAGCGAAGCTCGCCGCCTCGCCGCCAGCCGCCAGCTCCGCGGCGTCGAGCTCCCCGCACCACCGCGCCATTCCCCGATTCCTCGCGCCCGCAACTCCGCCTCGCCTTCCTTCAAGTCGCGCTCGCGCTTGCGCCGCCTCCGAGCACAGGTCGAGCCTCCCCGCGCCTCGCCACCGACGGCCATGGCGCCGCCGTGCTCGGCCGCCATGGAAGTCGTCTTCCTTCTCTTCTCCGCCTAGCCTAGCTACCCTACCGACTCGCCGTCTCCTCGCACATCTGCGTGCGCTCGCTAGCTTCCCTGCCAGGCCGGAGATGGCCGCCTGCCTTTGTGACCGAGCCACGCGCGCTGCGCAAGGTCGCGCACCCGGCGAGGCCTGCCTCTCGGCCGGCCAAAGCCGAGCGAGCCAGCCATGGGTTGGTGCCCGCCAGCCGCCGTGCTCCCCTTTCGCTCGGACCGCGTGAGCCAGATGCGGCCATGGGCCACTGTTCCCTCACGGGCCGCCCGAGAGAGTTTGAAAGAATTGTTTTAAATTTATTCTTTATTATTGAAAAATGAAATGGTTTGCAAAATGTTTGGATACTCAAAGTTGCTCCAAATTTGTTGAAACAAATTTTTCTAGGTTCCTTATCATCAGATCTACTTGGGAAAAATTGTGCATGTCATTTTTGAGATACTTTTCTATAGGATTTTATTTAATCTTGAATATTGCTGATAACTTGAAAAATATGTAGAAAAATATATAGGCTTCAGAAAAATATGATTCCAAGTTTGTTAATCTTCTTATGTCATGTACTTCCTAGAAAAAATATGTTTCATGCATGTGCTGTGGGAAAATTTTGAGGTGTAGTTCAAGTACCTTTAATGGCTGATTTTTGTTATTTTTGCTAGAGCACAAATTTTGTATAACACATGCATGTGACAATTTTTGTACAGTGATTATATACTATAAAGAACATAGGAAAAATACTCAATCTGTTGTTTGACACTTTTCATAGTACAAAGTAATTTCATGCTCATTTTTATGCTATAGCTTGTCATTTTTATGTAGGATAGTTTACTTATCCAAATGCCATGAAAAATTTATGGTAGTCTGCTTAGAGTAGTACTATGCTACTGTAATTTTCTTAGATTTTTATAAGCATCAGAAATATAGGTTGCTGTTGTAGCCTTAGTTTCAAATGAAATAAAATAATCCTCTTTAATGCAAGTTAGTTAATAATGTTAGCTTTGGTGTATCTTTGAAGCATTTAATAAGATGTGTTGACTTAACCTATTAGTAGTAGAAGAGAATGCAGTAGATGGCATGTGCTTGTAGTATATTTTCTTGGATGATGTGACTACCTTGCTTTTCAACATATCCATTGCATTCATCTCCTTCGATGCACCGATTGCATAGGCACTTACACGCATTGCATCATACAGGATCGCAAACCGAGAACCCAGTCGTCATTCCCGAGGAGCCCGAGGAGCAGCTCGAGGTGCAGCCGCAGGAAGTGCTAGAAGCCGACGAGGAGGACGTTGAAGAACTTCCGGAGTGCCCCGATCACCGCCCGAGCTCCTTCGAGAGAGGCAAGCCCCGAGCATCTTTTCTCCGGTTTGCAATGATTTCATTAAATACTTTACTTTAAATTGATGCATTACGTTCAGGAGTTGTTTGCAACCGTTCTTTGCATTATACCTTGTTTACCTTTGTTATACTATATCCTTGTTACCCTGGTATCCGCAGTCGAGTCAATGCTTAGCTGGCTTAGACCGGTAGAAGTCGGGTGATTTCCTGTCACCTGCGAGCTATAGGTGGTTACCTGGATCTGTTTGGATGGCTATGAAGTCATGGTATAACTAAGTGTTAAATGAAGTTGAGACCGAGGCGGAGACTTGCGGGGTTTTGGACCGTAGTGTTTCCGCTCGTGTGTCGATTAAGGACCGACCGTTGTTGGGCCTCGAGTCATGTTGAACGATGCCTTACATTTATTTGGCGAATAAAGTACCTTCCGACCATGAAGTGGGAGATTTTTGGGCCGAGTAGATTGCATGCAACGCCTTGTGCGGGCGGTGTGGTAGGACACGGGGCGGGATGATAAGACCAAAGTGCAGTGCGGTCGGTCGGCCCCGGTACATGTGGTTCTGGCAAACTCGAGATATACGGAAAGTTGACTCGGTGATCAATATCTCACTTTAGTGGGTGAGTGAGATTTGTGTAAGAAAT